ATGGTGTCCCTGACATGCAGTGTGTTTCATTGCTGTTCCTTCTCTCAGTGATCTTTGGGGGCTGACAGGTGCAAGGCTCCTGTGAGTTTTGTCATGCCTCTGACTGCACAAATGCTCTGCCATGGTGCTGGTGCTGCATCCCTGTTCCCAGAATGCAGTACCCAAACTCAGCAGCTTGTGGCTGCCAGCCTTTTGGTAACTTACTGCATTTTGCATCACTGGCTTTCACTTTGCTGGGTCAGAAACATGTCTGCACAATAACTGTAGTTTACTTCAATTCACCTACAATACTGGAAAATGTTAATTATTCAAGTATCAGTTATTGTAGACAGATGTTTTGAATGCATGTAAAGCATTGTGCAGTTGATACCTTCACCAAATATATCTTAGTTTTAGCCTTTAGTAATTGCAATATAGAGTTGTGCTTCAGAGCTGTTTTCCTTCCCCCACTTCTGACTTGTTTGCTCATTTATCTAAATGTGTTAACTTGCAAGGTTTCTCAGGATCACATTAGTGAATTAACAAGGTCCAACTTCTTGTAGCACTATTTTTAAAGTTTAGAGATAAAGCATTTCAAAATGCCAGCCATAAAATTCAATGTTTTTTGGTAAGATTAATTTTTTTTTTGCTTTTCATCAAAAAAAAAAATAGTATATTTTCTTAGGAGCATAAGGAGCATAGAGCAGTTTTCCTTGGCTTCATTGTAAAATGGTCTCAAAGCATTATGACAATGGTTTGATAGAAAGGTTTTTGTTTTTTACCCTTTCCTTTATGCAAATCTACTCAATCTAACTAGGTAATCTAAGTAGTTGACTTGGTTTGTGAGTTGTGTTATGGCTTCCATGGTTTGAGGAGTCCATAGATAATGAACATTAGCTGGAAACAGACTTGGAAAAGCTGACCTGCTCATGTTAATTCTGTATCTTCTGAGTGCACAAGCAGTGCATAACTCAGGTCCCCAGACTTTCAATTTCTCAGTTACCTTAAACTGTTTTTAAAAGAAAATACTGAGTTATGTTAATTAACACTGCCTTTTTTGTTTCTGTCTAAAGTCCTCTCAAAAATAAATTGCCAGTGGTCTCCTGGTGCTCTGGATGAAAGAAGCAATTCTTATCTAGTGCTTTACAGAAGTTCCTGGCTAGAAAATAGTGCAATGTGAAAATTTATCTTGGTTAATCACTATAGTATAGTGTGCAGGCTTCTATGATTTACAAAATAATGAATTTAGACCCCAAATCAAGAGCTCATCTTTCTACACGTGGTTTGGCTTTGAGGTACTCTTTCCTGATGTACTACAGCTATGAAACAAGAATTGCTGTATCACAGGGTTTGATCATCCTATGGATGGCAGAAAAGAGAAGCAGCATCATGGGACTTCCCTTAAAACTGGTGTTAGCAACATCTTCCCAAAGTGCCTGATTCCTTGGGAGCCACAGACACGGCAGTCTCCACTACAGGGATCCCACATTGGCTTTGCCTTGCATGACTTTTGCTGTCTGTGTGTCCTTCCCATGAAGGTGAGCAAATTATTCTTCAGGACATGGAGTTTTGCTCTGCTTATCCCATCATGGCTGGCTCATTGGGAAGCTCTGCACAGGGAAAGAGCAGTAGCCAAACAAGCCTTCATCTTTAGAGGCACTGTGGTACCTGAGCTGTTGTTTTTCCCATACTTGAAACAATAAATTTTTATCTTGCCTCAGACATTATGGAGTAATAACTTAGAGCTGAGGGTCTTAAAATTGTTACTTGAGGGAGAATTAAACAATACGTAACAACATATATATGGTAAGTGTAAAACAACCTTAAGAGGAAAACAGAATTACACTCCATGCCAAATAGTTTGCTCACTGAGAAAATTGCAATTTTTTTGAAGCTTTAACTCTTTTGAGAAATTGGATATTGGTTTGTGTGACTTGCACATTTTTTCAATTGTATTTGTATCAGCTTTCATATAGTGCATTTCCTACTCTGACAGGTTAGTCCAAAGATAAAATATTCCCTATTGTAAACAGCCATATTGCAGACAAACAGCACAGAGCACAACTAATAGGATTCACTCACAGATCTTTTCCATCATTAGTATTGCATAACTGTTTGTGCACTGAAAGGTGGTGGTCTTTTGAAAGAAGGATGCAAAGAGAAAATTGAGACATGAACTCCATCTTGATGTAAAAAAGAAATGCTTTCAGCTGTACATATAAGGAAATATGTTTGAAATTGAAAAAAGAAAAACACTGTGTATTAAATCTGGTGAATCTTCAAGCTAGTTTTTAAAAATCTAGATAAACATATCTATCAATGATTGAATATATTGCTGATATATTTCCATTACACCAATTGATTCATAAATCTTCCTCTAAGCAAAAATGCAAATAAAGAGAAAGACACTATAGATTTAAAACATAAAGAGTAAAATTCTCAAAGAAATTATGGATCTTGCAGCATAAAGTATTTTTTTCCATTCAGATTTTGGCAAATATATTATAAAGATGAGATAGATATGCCAGTGTTTATCCTGCCACTCACCTTTTAAATGTTTTCAGATCCTCATAGAAAGAGGCTGTGAAAGCCTTTCTCAGTCATGGCTTTTCCTATGGCAGAGCCAGCTCAAGTGCCTGGACCACCCACAGTACCTGGGCACCTTCAGGGAAATGTAGAGAGGGACCCTTCTGAGATCAGCACGGGCCTGCCTGAAGGAGCTGGTGTCATTTATTATTGCTAATAGTTTCAAAGACAGAGGTTGGACTGCTTCTGAGGAACTAATGCAAATATTACTTCAAAGATATTCAAGGCACAGGAAATGTAAAGAGAAGTGAAGTGTAATTCAAAGGGGTGGGGGTGGAGAATCAGCTTTGGGTTGTTCATTTGAAAGCAGTGGATACATTTAATCTGAACTGCAGAGCCCTGTCCAACTGGTTTAAACCTCATCTCTTTTAATTACTGAAGTGTTCCCTAGAAAACTGTTCTAATAGCAAACAAGTGCTGCAAATCAGCACAAAGGAATGTGTAACTCTTCTCTCGTGTAAGCGCATGACAAATCAATTTGCTTGCAGGCCATAGCAGAAAGTTGGTGGTCTGCATCTCTTACCTCTTCATACCAAGTATGCTGTGACAGAATTATTCCTGAGGAAATTTCCTGATGCATTATAAGGCCAGACTGCTGGTTTGAACCTTGCAGCATCTAACAGTGTTAAATTTTACTTTCTTGTTTGTACTTACCTACATGCAAACATGGCTCACCACAAAACAAACAAACAAACAATGGAAATAATGTCGCTGTCTCAACTCTCCCAAACAACTATATTTTAAAAATTTTTTTCCTCCCTCTTATATCCTAAAAGATATATATCCTAAAAGATGGATATCTTTCTAGCCCAAGGCAAGAAAAGGGGGTTTGGAGGATATCTTTTGCCCTTCAGTAACTGCTCTAACTCCCTATCAAGTTAATGGAAGTTCTGCAACTCAATTGAGTAGAAATGCGATTAAGCCTTTGCTTACTGATCCCATTCTGATGGAGTCAAGTTTCCTGCATCCGTATCACATACAGAAAAACAGGAAGGCCAACATTAATGGATATTGCTTAAAAAAACTGTATTAGGAGTCATAGGTTAAATGATCCTGACTTGTGTATCTTTTCATAGCCTACTCTGAAACAAGATTTCTTGTGCTGTTTAAGTGGAGTCAGTGAAACAATACAAGTCAACAATGGTGGATTCATGTTTCGGTCTTCACTTGAGAAATTACATTTCTGTGCACCAAAAGATGGAAATTATGTGCTGTATCCTCTCAATTTCACACTCATGTTATACTGCTGTCATGCTAGTAGAGAGTTGAAGCTGCTTTCTTTTCAAGAATATTAGCACTATAGATATGTTCTACATATATTTATGAGTGTTGGACACCTCCAATTTCTGCTTGCTTTCTGGTGAATGCAGGCTGATAGGGAGTCTTGTTTGTCTTGCTTTATAGCTCAAGAAATTTCAGCAAAATTTTTCAAGATCTTAGGCTGAATATACGAGGACTAAATGCTTGACGGCTATGATTTTTAAAGAGCTGATTTTATAAAAATGCAATGGATATAATGATACTGTAGGCAGAAAAGAGCCCCCTTGTCTCCCTGACAGTCCTTATTTTCTCTTTTCATTTCCCTTTTGCACCCCCTTCTTTTGGTTTTTCTCTGAGAGAGAGAATATGTAGAATGGAACAAATATGAAAAACGGAAATAAAATCCTTTGCCAAGGATTTTTCTCCTGGAAAGCTGAGAGGCCTCAGAGAAAAGGAAAACAATTCTTATCTCATTTGCTTCTCCTGTGTTGTTCTCATCTGGAATGTGTTTGGAGATTGTTTAAGGTGATTACCTAATTAGATTCTGGTGTAAGTTGTTTTGACTCATTGGCCAATTGGGGCCAAGCTGTATTGGGACTCTGGAAAGTGTCACGAGTTTTCTGTATTATCTTTTTAGCATTCAGTAAGCATCCTTTCTGTATTCTTTACTATAGTATAGTATTCTTTAATATAATATAGTGTAATAAAGTTATAAATTAGCCTTCTGATACAATGGAGTCAGATGCATTATTCTTGCCATCGTTGGGGCATCCCTGCAAATACAGTACAAAGGAAGAAAAACGTGGGGTTTTTTCTGATCTTTGGAGATTTATTCAAAGGGCATCATAAGAATTTGTGCATACCAATTCTAATTTTTCATTAGCCTCTAGAAGGTTTTGTACATCTTTCTGAGATACTTCTTAGAGCCCAATGCTAGACCCCAGTAAGCACTGTATAAATATTAAAATGAGCTAAATCACTGATTGGGAAATCAGTGATTTATCAGTTCGTATTTGAATTGTAACAGAAAGTGAAAAGAAAGTTTTGGGATCCTAAGTTGTCTGTGGTGCTAAACTGCTTTTCGTCCTTGCCCACAGAAATCCATGGTTTGTTAGCCTGTTCTAAAGAGGGCAAGATTTATAATGAGTGAAAATACTTTGCTTCATATTCGACAGGTCAAGTTTTCTCTGGATTGAGGCGGAACTGTGGCTCATGGACATCTGATGTGATAAGTAAGTTGAATTTGATGTATCTTATTACATTATTACTACATCACAAATATTGATCTTGGTTATGCAAGTGTAAGTGCAATTTATTATCTTTCTTATTTTGCATTTTCACCAGTAGCAGTGAAATGAAAATTTGCCTTTCTTTCTATTTCTCCCAAATGACACCACAAAAACAATGTTTAAATTGTTAGAAATGACCATTTGGTTTGGAAACAATATACATCAGGAGCTGTTTAACAAAAAAAATATATTTGAAAAAAAAAAAAAAAAAAAAAAAAAAAAAAAAAAAAACAAACCTTCAACAAACCAAAAGGATATTTGGGCTTATGAGAAGACAGTTCAGAAAATCTGGTGTAATTGATGTACAGCCCATGTGCTCATACACTAATAGACAATTGTTTGGGTGAAGTAATGGTCAACAGCACTACATTACTTAATGGCACTGTTTCCTCCTTGGCTATTTAATCATAGTTCAGTGTTTAAAAAAGGGGTCCAAGCATGTCACTAAAAGTGAGACTAAAGTAGGGGTAGAGCCTTATGTTGTGCTGTTTGCTGGATTTTATTATTCCTGGTAATTATTTAATACTTAAGGTGTGCATCTACAGATCTGTTTGGTCTTAAACAGTGGTGGGACCAAGCAGGAGCTTTGCTTACCCTGAAGTATATGAGGCTGCTCCAGTGCTAGAGAAATAGTGAAGAAAATGTAAAAGGATTTGAGTTCAGGTTGCATAAGGCTCTAGAAACACTTCCACACAGGAACATCCACCATGGAAGCGATTCCTGGAAGAGTTTTGGCAGCCAGAAGCAGTTAGGCAAATGGTGTCCTGCTCTGTTTGTGTCAATCAAATTGATGCATTGTAGAAAAGTGTATTTAATTGTGAAGAGTTGAGCTGAAAAAGTTGGGACTGCAACTTAAAGTTGCAATAAAAATTTCTAGGTATAAAAGAAAAAAAAAGGAAATTATAAATAGCTAAAAGTTTTCCATTTCTGAAAACCAGTTTAGGAGACTGCTTAATGATGTAATTTTTCAAGTTGCAAGGTAACTTTTTCTGAAGTAATCTTGACAAGATATATATATATATATATATTCTTGTTTCAGATTTTCAGTCCTATTTGCAGTATGTATTGTTTATTGCTGTTTACATTAACTTTTTTATAGTTAGGATTTAGAAATGAAGGTAGGGAAAAAATGTCCATTTTCACTCAAATTGATACAGACCATCAGAGGCAAACTGGTAGCACCAGACTAGCACTGGGATGATGAAGTGACAGTAAATTAAATGACAGGGAAGGTAAAATATATGATAATATTTTTAGCACCAGAACAGTTTGCCACCCAGACCTATATATCACGCATGAATTGAGCAGCTTCTAAAATGTCAGTGCATTGTGATTTACAGCTCAGAAATTTGTTCTTTCCCAGATAAAACGAAGTTTATTTTGTGGGCATGTAATACCTTGCAATTTATTATACAGGCAGGCACTTAATCGGGTCTGAGCATGAATGGCTCAAGTGAGAGGTGCGCTCATACTGCAGGAGTGCTTAAGAGAAATGAGTGTTGAACACGTGTGTATGTAAATGTGATTGAGAACACTGGATCAAATGGATATATTTTTCCATTGCTATGTTGCCTTTTATCATGGATTGGATAAATCCATTCTTGCTTGTGGGAAGCAGGAAAAGGAAAAAATGGTGCTGCAGAAATATGTGGATCTCTCCCTCCTTGCAGAATGAGAAGGATTCATATCAGAGAATTGCATGAACTCACCTTTTCAGTAGACGTTTTCTTCCTGGTGTTTGTGTGTGTGTATGAGTATCTGTTATGTAGCAGAAAAGATCAGTGCATTCCATAGATAAGATCTTTCCTTAAAAGAGGACAAATCTATGATCTAAGACTGACAGGAACAGTCAAGTGTCCAATGTTCTGGAAGGTCCAATCCTCAGGAAATGGAATATAGATTGTACCACAGGTTTAAACCAGAAACAGAGTGACAGAATTACAGTCTGTAAAACACAGACAGTGTTGTCAAGCCACAAACACATTGAAAGTTTTTTCATAGTAACATAATTAATGTCCTAAAATCTACCAGGAAAACAGATGGCAGCCGGTGGATTTGATGTGCATACTGTTCATTATGTGCATAGAAGGATAGTGAGACTTTTATTCTTGCAGGAGGAGCAGCACTTTGCTGAGAAAGAGAGGCAGGCACACAGGCAGCTGTTTCAGGAGATGATGTTCCAGCAAGTTGGAAATATGGACCTGAGAGGGAAATGAAGAGTGCAAAAGTGAGAGTTCAGTGGCAGAGGTTATAGCAGAGGAGCTACAGTGAGAAGCTGAACATATACAGTTAAAAACATCCTTCATTATCCCTGGTTCAGTACCTTGGGTTTCTCTCTTTGCTAGTGCTTAGTTACTTGTTGTGATGGCAACTCCCCACCTTGGTTCATTCTGCTTTAATTATCAGTTGCATGGCTTGAACACAGCAAAAGTACAAAGGAGATGAAATTGGAGTCATAATGGCCAGGTTCAGGCAGGTCCTCTAAGGTTGGCAGAAGAGAATAAAATCTGCTGAAAGTATTTGGGAAAAGCTGCTTTTCTGTTAAGAAATAATGCCAGTAACTGATGTGTAAAGAAAATGAAGGAGTACCATCCACATGTAGTTTACAAGAACAGGAGAGGTAAACTGCGCGGTGAACATGGACTATATGTTAAAGAACTCAAGCAAACACCTTTAAAAATCAGTCGTCATATTGCTTTGCTTTTAAATTAATTAATATAATTATTTATTACAGTGATGCCATTATGTGTCGTTCAGCACTGGATAAGATTCCCCCCAGAGATGAATTTGGACCTGAAAAAAATCGAAAATAAACTTTCATTGGAGACAGAGCAGAAAATGAAGCTATTTCTGTTCTGACAGCGTTCTTTCTAATAGAGGGTACTGCAACGTGCAGAGGCTCAGAAAGATGTCAGTGAAAATAACAACCTGACATTATATGTGCAGTAAATACTGAAGACTGGAGGCTGGTTTATTACTTTTTCTTTTTTTTTTAATATGTGGGTTGTTTGTTTCAGTTTTAGTTCATGCTAATCTGCTTGATAGCTCATTATCTTTCTCCTTTGGTTTCGTGGTAGTCTACCAGTTTATGTTAATGGCTGTTTCTTTATCCAGTCTCATAAGGTCATCATTTGAAATGGTAACAAGGGTAGATGTTTACATAAGTTAATATCTCTTTTCATTTTATATGGGTACACTAAAAAACTGAAAATCACTTACTTTCAACAAATTGTACTAATAAAATGCAGTCTTTTGAGACTAAAATGCAAAATTCAAAGTCTATTAGATTGGCTATCTAATCAGAGTTCATGACAACAATATAATTGTTTTTGTTTAAAAAAAAAAAAAGAAATGCAGACAAAAAAAACCAAAAAGATCATGACCAGTGAGGATTTGTCCAGTTAAAGGAAAGCAAAAGCGCTTCTTCATCTCAAGAAATCTCGAGAGCTAGAACTGGCACCAGTATGCTCCCTGCTGCAAATATTGAGGTACATAAGTCTTAAAAAGCTGTATTGTAATAAACACTGGACTACATGCTTTAAAAAAATGTGTGGGTGGATGGGAAGTGGAAATGGTTGCTGAATTACTCAGGTGGCTTTGAGTGACTACATGAGCAAGTGTATGATTTATATGGCAGATTTTGGCTGACTCTTGGATATAAGTGAGGAATCCTTACCCCATGAATGAGCCACACAGTGCTGGCTGAGTTGCAGTGGCAGGAAACTCACTGTCAGACCTTGGCTAAGGAGCCATGGTGTCAGCTCTCAGTCCATTTATTGAGCAGAACTGAAAAACAGTAACACCTCACCAGTAGCTGGATTGCTCTTGTGCTGTAGCACTGGAAAAGGGGAAGAGTGGAGAGCAGAAAGAAAGAGAAAAAGATATAAGGTGATTCTTGCATGATTGGGTTTGTGAATGAAACTCTTGTGTGTCTTCTCAGCAGTATCTCATCCTGTGGAATAACATACTAAGCTAGATGATCATCAGCCAGGAGGGCTTCCTTGCTATTCTTCCTACTTTGTGGCACCAAACATGGATTTTGGAGCAAGGCCAAGGTTAGATATTAATAAACAAGTGGAGTTGTCAGTATTTTCTACAATGAGGGCATCTACAGTACTTTTGTCTCTCATCATGTTGGCTAGGAGGACATATTTGACTGTGGCTTTTCTCTGATAAATTCTTACACGTGTCCATGCACTCAGATTTACACTTGTAGATACTTGTACTATACTGAATTAGCTAAGAGTCACATTTGAATACAGTGTTTATACTATACTGAATTAGCAAGGGGTCCTCTATGAAACTTTGGTGTGTCTTCTAGCACTAATTTTAAAAGGAAGAAATAACATCAGATCTTGTAGATTATTTCATTTCCGTCTACATTCACCAAAGTGCTAGAGAAATCTTCCTGAGTAGTGGAGATAGTGAATTTCACCTTTTCTCAGTGCCCACTCTGCTGCCTTGGTACTGTGGTTATTCTGAAGATCCTTTGAGTCCAGCTGGTTGCTCATGCCATGGTTCAGCAAACTAAAAGGCTCTCATTGTTAAGACCTTAATGAGGGTTAAACATGTGCTGAAATGTCTTTTGCTGAAAAATCACAGAAGCACAAGCAAAGATTGTAATGTGGCCTTAACTGGTATTGTAAAACTTAACTTTGTGTTAAATATTCTGGTTTTGAAAATTGAGTACATTTTAAAAGCTCTAGCATTCATTTACACATATATGTCCCATGCATACATCATGAGGAAATGTCATTTTACAAGTTGCTACCACCCCTTGATCATTAATTATCCTTCTTGTGCTCTTTCATTAGATCATGGCAGGAAAAAAAATATCATGTGCTATGACATTTTGGTGTAATTTGAGAAATCAGAATATGCAAATAGATATATTACTTGTTTTCTGTAACTGCATTGAAATTTGCTTTCTGCAGCTGGGGAAG